TCATGTATATCCCAATACAGAATTTTCCTCCAGAAACTAAGTTTTTCTTTCCCTAATATACTTACATTTGGCTGTGGAAAATGAAAAGTTAGTCTCCCGTTATTAAATGCATCTTAAAAATAAAAAGCTCTAGGCTGCTTGCACATCCTTCTTTCTTTCTTGTGACTGCTGTATCTATGTTTACCTTTCCTTCTTCCTTTAGGAAGGAGGTGATTTTCTGCTGACTCTTCCCCTGAAGGGAATCCTGCAAATTATTGTTAGTGTGCACTTGTGGAGGAGCAGAGGAAGAAAAATTACTCTGAGTATAAATTCAGCTTTAACTCCAAGAGGCCCAAAGAGACTGCTTCACAAACATTCATCAGCATTAGAGAGTCTCATGAGGACATCCCAGATGTGAAAAAACCCTGGCCTTTTATTTGTAACCCAGCTGTGAGAACAAAGGTACTGAAGAAAAACATTTGTGTAGGAATTTTTGTCAGAGGAAAGGGAAAGAACAAGATGGTCTGCTGAGCAAGTTAATGGAGCCATGAAGAACACAATGACTGGAGCAAACATCTCTAAAAGTAACTTTGTTTTATGAATCTTGAACATCTATTGGTATTTTCTCTGGACACATTTGGTTTTGTTTGCTTTTTTTTTTTCCAGTACTAAGGATAGAATTCAAAACCTTCACACCGAGCTACATTCCCAATACTTTTTGTTTTTTATTTTTTATTTTTTTGGTACCAGAGATTGACCTCGGGACCTTGCGCTTGTGAGGCAGGTGCCGGAACCACTGAGCTAAATCCCTGGCCCTTTCTTTTTTATGTTGAGCAGGGTATCATTAAGTTGTCGAGGCTGGGCTTGAACTTGTGATTCTCCAGCTTCAGCTTTCCAGAGTACTGAGATTTCAGGGATGTGCCAATATATCTGTCCTTGACAGATTTGATTTTTATGTAAAAGTGTACATTTACTATGTATACTTCATTTACTATGCTTGCAATATAACCCTAGAACATTCTTTTAATTTAACCATTACAGTAAACAGTGTCATTGTAAGAGCTTGCATATTACTTAAAATTTATAGCAAATAGTAGTTTTGAACAAAGTGTTACTAAGGATATTTTTTAGTACTGTGGCAATAAAATATTCAAGAAATTTTAACTTCTGTAATTTGTATTTGTAAGTGATGGCTTCTCAACCCAGAGAGCTTAAAAATAACTAACATATGCTATACCACCCACTATTATAAACACATTGCATATTTGACTCACCGTATTTCTGAAGCTGTCTTACGAAGTAGATGCCATCAATCATCCCTATTTTACAAATGAAGAAACTGAAGCTCCTAACAGTTTCAGATTGCTGAAAAGTCCAAGTTCAAAGTCATCTCTGAAATTTAAGCCAAACTCTTAGCTGTGAGCCCCTGCACAAATGAAAAGAAATTTAAACACTTGCAACATACAATGGCATAGGATAAACATTATCATTCCAAAAGGTACAAATGGGACAGAAAGGAATGGGACCAAAGCAAGTCCAAAATCCAGCAGGGCAAACATTAAGCCCTGTAGTTTCATGTTCAGCATCCAAGACAGTCTATGGCAAGATGTGAATTCCCAAGAATCCACCCCTATAGCACTGTGTGTGGTTGCAGCTTTCATGGCTTTTCTCTTGAAGCACACTGCCTGGCCTTCCAGGCCTTCTTCTGAAATTGGGGTGGAAGCCTCCCTGACCTTACAGCTCTTGCATTTGCATGCACCTAAAATCAGCACCACATGGGTGACACCAGGTCTGACTAACCAGGCTTCCTTCCTCCTTGGATGTAGGGTTTGAATGTGTAGATGTCCACCTCAAAGCCTCATGTGGTGATCCCCTCATGTGGGAGCCTGGAAGGAATAAAAAGCAGTGGCAGGCTGCTGCAGCTACTGCTTTGGTACTTCCCTGCTTTGCTGCCTTCTGCCTGCTTTGAACTCTTCTCATCTGCAAGTTCCCTCTGCCATGCCACCCTGCCTTGGAGTCAGCCAACTATGAAATGAAACCTCTGCAAACTATGAGCTAAATAAATCTTTCCTCCTTTAACTTTAGGTGTTGAATATTTTGTCTCAGCGATAAAAAAAGTAATTAAGACAATAATAGAATGTCTCCTTCCCCATAATTCTTCATGTTTAGATAAATACACACATACCTATATGGGCTTTCCTTCTTTCTTCTTTTTGGCTTCTCCTTCCTTGAACAAAATGAGATTTTAACACACATATGCTCTTGCCTGTTTTTTTCCACTCATGTGGTGCTAGAAACTGCATTTCACCAAGGGACTGTAATCAATTTCTCTCTGCAAAAAGGAACTTCTCTCTTCTGGTAGCAAGGTTGGGCAGATAAGCCTTCAAGGAAACATAAGCCCATCTAACAGCCCACCCAACTTCCTGACCCTTTAAGTGACATCTGACAGGGCTGAGATAACCTTGTAGCCATGCAGAAAGGATGGTATAACTGGAAAGAACAAGGGACATCACTGTGACACCATGTAACTGTGAAACCTCTGGAATTATCCCTCTGGTAAATTTTGTTTCTCTCATAATTGTTAACAGGAAAATCTGTAAAGCAGAGGAACTTGTACATTTGCTTTTCAGGAAACAGGTCTGTGTGTTGCAGTGTAGGTCACACATCCATGAAGCCAATCCTGCTTGTGTTATCCAATAGTAGGGTGGAGAGAAACATTCATTAGCTTGCCATTTGGTTAAATTACACTTTTTGTTATCTTTAAAAAGCTCATTCTAATGACATTTAAAGAAAGGTATGGGCTTTGATTCATTTTTATATTTAAAAAATTAATACATGTTTGCAGAACACAATGATCACATTCACTGTGGGGAGTTGGTACATGTGCATAACACATCTTAGTTCTTTTTATTCATCCCCTCAATCTCTGGTCCCCTTCCCATTTGCAAAAGATCTATATCCCTACTTTGTTTGTTCTTTAATTCATTTATACTTTAGGTTTTTCGTATAAGAGAAACTGTGGGATATTTAAACTTGCATGTCTGATTAATTTCACTTAGCATTATTATCTCAAGATGCATTCATTTTCCTACAAATGATTCAATTGTATCCTTTTATACCAGAGTGTATAAATACCACATTTTCTTTATCCATTCATCCTTCAATGAACCTATAGACTACTTCAAAGGTTTAGCTGTTATGAGTTGTGCTGCTATAAATATGGGTATGCATGTTTCATTGTAATACTTTTTTGGAAAGACACAGGAAAGGGGAATACCTAGGTTAAATAGAATTTCTATTTTTAGTTTTTTGAGAAATATACGTACTGATTTCCATAGTGGTTGTACTAGTTTACATTCCCACCCACAACTTAGGATTCCTTTTCTCCCCACAGCCTTGCCATCACTTATTATTATTATTTGATTTCTTGATGATAGCCATTCTTTCTTGAGGAAGGTGGAATCTCAGTGAGATTTGATTCTTAAAGGTAATTTATAGTAAGTCTCTCACTTACAAATGAGTCCATTCTGGAAGAATGTTTGTAAGTCGGATTCATTCTCTAAGTCCAACAAAGTGAGTTTTATACACCTTTGACACAAATACATAATGTAAAGCATAAAAAAACCCAAACACAAAAATATACTGTAAACAAACTATTTTTACTTTTACAGTTACCTTAAAATGGTGGTACAGTGCAGTACAACTGTAAATAAACTATTTTTACTTTTACAGTTGCCTTAAAATAGTAGGGTAGACACCTGAGCTACTTCCACAGTTTGCAACTACAAATGTTTGTAATGTGAGGTCTGTCTGTATCTGTGAAAATTCACAATTTGAATGTTCATAAATTAGGGACTTACTGTATAACATACAAGACAAAGCTTCCTTTAAAACATTCATCTTCTTTACTGTCAAGAGTTGAAGGGCTGTGAACCATCACTCACAGTAAAATACAATGGAATCTCAAGGTTTGCTAAACTGGGCAACCTTTTTATTTCTTGTCTTAGTTACTTTTCTCATTGCTGAGACATAGTGCCTGACACCTACAAGTTATAGGAGGAAAGATTTATTTTGGCTCATAGTTGGTAGAGGTTTCAGTACATAGTTGGCTGATTCCAAGGCAGGGTGGCATGGCAGAGGGGCATCACAGATGAGAAACAGTCCAAAACAGAGCAAACGGGAGGCAGCAAATGGCAAGCAGCACGACTCCTTTTCCTTATTATCCCATCCAGGATATAAGCTTTATGAGTGGTGTCACCCACACCCAAGGGGTGCCTTCCCATTATCTACCCCTAGAACTATACTAAACTAATCAGTGGACTAATTTAGTTATCACACCCTTTATTCATATTCATATAATCCTAATTTACACTCACACACCCTAGATCCAGCTACCTCTAAAAAGCCCTACCTATGAATGCATGAGGATTTGGGGGAAACATCAAGATACAAAACATAACCATTCCCTTATGTAAGGAAGCTGAAATGTTGTCTATCAACCTACAGCAATTTTTTCTTGATACTTTGAGGTGAAATATTTTTAAATTTATTGCAGTTTTTTCATTTAATTTCTTTCAAAGAATTTTCTTTCTATTTACGTACCAACAACTTCTGTTTTTCTACTACTGGAACTCCCTACTACTAAGTTTTTTTTTTTAGTTAAAAAAAGAAGCCTTTAATGACAACATATGACAGGGTGCAAAAGCTAAATAAACTGTTTTCCTCCTCAGGCACACCCATCCCAATCCCCCATCACAACCAGTTCCACTGCTGTCCCTGCCACCCACATCCTGTAAATACCACATCTACATGGTCCTCTCAACCCTGAACTGAACAAGTGAGGCACCAAAAGGTGAATGAAGCTTTGGCAAGCAGGCAATCGGATAATTCTTTGAGCTTTGCTGAGGTAGTGGAGTCTCTCTTCCTAAAATTTTAATAGTTAAGAAACATCTACAGAACTGAACTAAGAGACAAGCAGAATGCTGGCACCAAACCTACACATTATTCTGAACTGGGCGGTTTTACCCAGGTTCACCACATACTCCGTACGTGTCTTCAGCAGAATCCTCATTGTTACATGGAGAAGATATCGAGATCACCATGTGATGAGGGTAAGCCATGGCTTCCTGATGGCAATGTGCAACTCATTACAATTTAGATTTAATTCCTGAATGTTTTCTAAAAAAAGTGCCTGGTGCACAGTAGGTGCTCAATAAATATTTGCTAACTGACTGAATATTTAAGACCTCTGATTTAGTTCACCGAGATTACAAGCAAAAACAAAGCATTAAAAGAACCAATCAACTCCAAGCTCATAACATGAAAGTCTAGAAGACTTTCTTCAGTGCATGGAATTTGAGACAACTTTCAAACTATGAGAAGATTAAGTTCAAATGGTATTGGACATAGCATAGTAAACACTTCTAATATTAACTCCCGTGTACCAGAGATCCTCATATTTTCATCATTTTACTATGAAGATGTGATTGAGGGATTTTTATCCACACATACCCTTTCTGAAGACAAAGCAATCCACTCTCTCTGTTGTTCTTCAAGCTTTTCTGCCAAGCATTTAATGAAGATAGGATCCAGCCTAGAATCAAATTTATTAGCAAACCAATGTCCATCTTTTATAAACCACCTCAATTCTGCAGCTCCATAAATACACACACTTCGAAGATGAGTGCCAGTACAACTGGGATAGAAAAAGCCTTCGTAATAATTCCATTTGACAAGGCGGGTCTTACTCTGTAGGTCAGACACATCTTGGGCTGACCTGGAAATCTCCCCAGGTATTCCTGGTACCCTGATTAAAGTAACCCAGAAGTGCTCATCGGGAGTATGTATCCTTAGACCAGGAAAAAAGTCTTCAATGAGGGAGTTGTTGAAAATATATTTAATAAATGTTTGGCTCAAAATGAAATAGGTACTCCCCACAAATATCTCAATGTTATGAGAGGGTGCTTCCTTGGAGATGTTTGTCCTTATTGGTAGCTTCACGTCTTCATAAGGCACTCGTCTGAGCTCATGGTGATAAGTAAATCTTTCCATATTACTGTGAGGGGGTTTCACTGTTTCTAACATGTTTGTTCCATTGAGTTTCTCCAACTCTGACACTAATTCGAAATTTGACTTCAGGGGAAAATCTTGCCCACATAAGTTGATGACGTATTTCCATGGAACCAAAGACCTCAGAAGGTCTGATAAGCAATTTAAATCAGCTTGGAGCCTGGAAATGTGGGCATATTCCACAGCTTCTAACTTGGAAGCAATGAAAAAATACAGAAACACTTAGCTAAGTTGTTCATGGCTGCTTTGAAGGTATCAGGTGACTTAAGGTCGTAATGGATGCAGTAGATATTGTGCTGGTTGTATATAGCATGGATGAGCCTTTCAACCATAATCACATCTTTATGGACGACCAAAGAATAAGCTATCGGGAAGCTCTTCTCTTCCCTTGACACGAGCTTATGATGGTACCTTCTTAAAGTCTGATAAACGTCACAATCACTGGTTATTGTCACAACATCATCATCCTCCAAGTCAATGATATCTCGTTTCTGTATCTCCAGACTCTTGCCAATTTCCAAAGTTTCCTGCACATAGATCCCAGAACAGTTAACTTCACACCTGACTTCATCTTTAATGTGGGTGTACCTGTTTCTCACAAAAGGTGAGGTGCTTAAGGAGTACTCCACCAAGTAAATACCTCTCTGAGGAAAGAGGAGCCTTTCCACATTTAAAAGCTTTAACAAGGAGAACAGCCATAGGATTAAAAACAGGATGAAAACTTTCTGCTGGAGGATGTATTTAAAACAACATTTGCATATCTTCATTTTGCCAGACTGGCTGGATCCTGGGGAGTCTGAGCTGGGCAGGAGAAGGAAGGGAGACGGAGAAGGTAGGGACGAGGGTGCATTTCAGAGGCAGAAGGGGACGCCCGGAGCAGTCCTGCACCTGCCATTCTGAACCACTCCTCTCTCCACAGGTCATCTGTGCCTCTCCTGGGGTCAGCCTTTGCAGTGCTTTGAAAGGATCCGTCCTGCAGTACTGTCCCATTGTTCTTGCTGTTTGCCAAAGCAGTTCTCAAAGTCCTCTTCCATGAATGTCTTTAGTGGCATTGTGGGGGCTGCCTCAGTGTCCCCTTACATGCAGTGCCATCTCAGAGACCTTGAAAGTGCAAGATCGCAGGGGACGGCGGGGTCTCCGCGGCTGCGGGCTGCGCTCCCGGGCCCCGCGGCCCACTCGCGTGCTCCTCCTCGGCCGGCGCACTGCCCCTACTACTAAGATTGTAACAAACCGTAGCAAAATACATGCAACATTAAAAGTTGCCATATGGACTGTTTTTAAGTGTAGAGTTTAATTCATATTATTGTGCAACAATCACCACCGTTTATCTTTAGAACTGTTCTTTTTCCAAGACAGAAATTTTATACTCATAAAATAACACCTACCATGGGCCAGGGATGTGGTTCAGCAGCGCCATGCCTGCCTGGCAAGTGCAAGGTCCTGAGTTTGATATCTGGCACCAAGAAAAAAGAAAATAACACCTATCATTTTCCCTTCCCCTAATCGCCTAGCAAGGAGCATTCTTTCATTCTCTGTCTGGTTCTGCCTAGAATTGGACTATTCCAGATAAGTCATATAAGTGGAATCATACACTATTTATTTTGTGATGCACTTATTTCACTTAGCACTTAGTCCTCAAGTTTCATTTATGTTAGTTATAGACGTGACTGGATTTCCTTTCTTTTTATGGCTGAATATTATTCCATTTTATGTGCTTACTATATTTTGTTTATGCATCTATGCATTTCTGAAAACCTAGATTCTTCCACCTCTTTTCTGTTGTGAATAATGCTGCTATGAGCATTGGGATACAAATCTCTTCAAGATTCTGCTTTTACTTCTTTTGTGTGTTATATTCAGAAGTAGACTTGGCAGATTATATGTAATTCAAATATTTTTTCTGACTGCCCCCCCCCCCGTACCAGAAATCAAACTCAGGACCTTGTGCTTACAAGGCAGGCACAGTGCCACTGAGCTAAATTCCCAGCCCTGTAATTCAAACATTTTTCAGCATTGTGGGTTAAACTCAGGGCCTTGTACATGCCACACAAGTTCTCTATTATTGAGTTATACCCTCAACCCTTCTAAGTTTTTGTTTATTTTGAGATATGATCTTGATAAGTTGCCTAGGTTGGCCTTTAACTAGCTATCCTCCTGCCTCAGCCTCCTAAGTAGCTGGGAATACAGGTATGTGCCACCATGCCCGGTGTAATCAATTTTTAATTTTTGAGGAGTAACCATGTCTTCCATAGCCACAATACCATTTTACACTTCCAAAAAAGGTACAAGGGTTCCATTTTTTTTCATATCTTCACCAATATTTATTTCCTTTTTTTTAATGGTATCCATCCTAACAAGTATAAGGTGGTATCGCATTATAGTTTTTATTTTCTTTTCTCTGATGATTAAATATGTTACCTTAGTATGTTTTCTATTGCTGTAATAGAATACCTGACATTGGATAATTCATATAGAACACAGTTCAGATTTGGAGGCTGAAATGTCCAAGATGAAACTGCTGGCCTCTTATCTGGAGCTTCTTGCTGTGTCCTCAGATACTGGAAGGGCAAAAAGATATAGACTGTGTCCTCACATAGTGGAGGAGAAGCAGTGATTCCATTCCTTCAAGTACTCTTTTATAACAACATTAATCCATTCATGAGGTTGTGAGGTAGGATAGCAAAATAAAGATTGGTAGAGAGGAAATAAGGCAAATTGTAATTTTAAAATTATACTTTTAAGAGAAACAACAACTTCAGGATACAAAAGTTATTCAAGCCCTTTTCCCTTGTAGGAAACTCAAAAAAATTCCTAATTGTCTTAATGACACAATAAGCCTATAAATTGCATTCTAGGCCCATGCTTTTTAACCATTAACTGCCCTTCCTTGCACAGATATCCATTCTCAAGGAAGCAGCAATATTAGTGGGCAGCATATGTCAATTACCAACACTTGTAAATGGTTTGCATTTCAACATAGCATGCCAAATGGGGAACCTGAAAAGATAGTAGGAATACATATTCTAGATCACTCATCTTGAGGACACTCCCAGGACCATATAAAAACACCAGTCCTTAGTGCTCTTCTCTCTTGAGGACTCATTCTGTACTTTCTCTGAGTGTGTACTTTTAAAATTCTGCCTAATAAACCTCTTTATGCCTCTCACTGCTGCATCTTGAAAATTCTTTTTCTGTGATGGAAATCTGTAAACCTACAACTTGTCCTGTAAGTGGTGAGTTGAGTTCCTCATCTCCTCTTTGGAGAACCTCCTCAGACCCTGTCCAATGACCTAAACACTCTCTATAAACCCTGCTTTCTATTCACTGGGGATTAAGTTTCCAATACATAAATTCTAGAGGCACTTTTATATCATAGCAGATGTTAAACATCTTTTCTTGTGCTTATTGGTCATTTGTACACCTTCTCTGGAGAGATGTCTGTTCAACCCCTTCTCCATTTTTCATTGGGTTATTTTTTTTGTAGTTGAGTTATTAGTATTTCTTTAAATATATATTCTGGATACAACTCTTTATCAGATATATTTGCAAATATTTTCTCCCATTCTGTGCTTGCTTTCTCACTCTGCTGGTTGTATATTTTGATATAGTTTTAATTTGGATGTAGCTTAATTGACAGATTTTTTTTTCTTTTGTTGGTTATGTTTTTGGTGTCCTGTCCACAAAATCATTCCTCAAACCAATGTATGAAGCTCTTACTCTATGTTTTCTTCGAACATTCTCATAGTTTCAAGTCTTATTTTTAGGTCTTTGATGTATCGGGGTGGTAAAGTAAATATATTTATAATTTTATTTGTTTTTTTTTTCTTTTTTGTCTTTTTTGGTACCAGGGATCAAACTCAGGACCCTGCACTTGCAAGGCAGGCGGTGGAACCACTGAGCCAAACCCCCGGCCCATGTTTATCATTTTAACAATCAGTAAGTATACAATTCAGCTGTCATATTGCTTTTTAAATATTGAGGTCTCATTCTTGGGAGAATAAATTGCAAAATTTTGATTGTCAGCCATCTAATCAATGATAAAAATCAATTGTTTATCCAGTGTAGAACAATTTATGTCCCTTAGAATGATAGTTCAGATGAAGCAAAGCAGCTAATGCCATAGAGAATTCATCCTAAGGTCCTTCCTGCTAGGTCCTCATGTGTCTTCTTTATTTCTATTGTGAGCTGGCTGAAACAAGTTTATTAAAGCAAATTCTTAAGATTCTTTTTTGATAGGTAACAGTTGCTTTCAATGGTTAGAATCTAGTAAAACTTGGGGCTGGAGATTTAGCTCAGTGGTTCTGGTGCCTGCCTTGCAAGTATAAGGTCCCAAGTTCGATCCCCAGTACCAAAAAAAAAGAATCTAGTAAAACTTACCTTCTGCCTAGTAATGCTGATTCACAGACATTTATTAAACAATCATTTTTGTTTGGTAGGCAGGCACTGGAGAATTTATAGAACCTAATTAGTAAGCTTGATAACCAGTTCTTTGTCCTCTTACTGTTCTGACAGTCATCTTGAATGAAAGGGTCTTTTGAGGGACAGGCAACAGCTTTTCAGAAGAAGAATTCTATTTCTCTTCATAGTGGGCATTAGACAACTGGAATTCCTCCTGACCCGTGGCTGAATTCCACCCCAAAAAGATGTAGGCAATAGTTCTCTATTCTTATCATCAGTTCATGTAAAGGTGGGAGAGTCTCTTTGAATACTTTTAATTCACTAATAAGAACCCACTACCAACATTATTCATGATATTTATAAGCCACTAACTGTGAAAAGCCACCTCTGCCATTAAACAGAAAAGCACTATTGATAGAGACTGAATAGTCAAGGGAGTGGTCGAAATTGCGTAGGTACATAGTCAAAGTAATGCCTAACTCTACCTGGGCATTCTGATGGGCTTATTCATGAAGGGGACAACTGAGTTGAGACTTCCAGAATGCTGAAAATGTATGGAAGAGAAAATCACAAAACATTCAAAAACAAGGAGGCAAGAGAGAGAAACTTGTGTATGCCCAGAACATAAGCTTTCCGTTTACAATATAGTTTAGAAAGCTAAATTGGAGTAAAGATCAGAAAGAACTCTATAGAATATATAAAGGAATTTAGGCATTGATCTGAAGGGAAAAGAAGCAAGGAAATGGCAAGATTAGAATTGCTTTTTAGAAGTTTATAAGAATTTAATTAGAGAGGGGCAGATGAATGGATAAATAAAATGTATTTTCTTTATTGTTACTCTATGGAGTACTACTCTGCCATAAGGAAGGATGAACTTGAGACATCTTTAAGTAAATGGATGCAAGTTGAGACCATAATCTTAAGTGAAATAAATGAGACTCACAAGTTAAAATATTGCATTGTTTCTCTTGTATGAGAAATCGAAAGTGTAAATAAGGAAAATGGAGGATAGATATTGGGAAGTAGGAAGAACTGGTTCAAATGGGTAAGGGGAATGGAAGGAAAGGAGAAAGGATTTTAAAAAAGAGACTGAAAGGAAAAAATGGAGACACAGTTTTGTAAATGGGCAAGGGAAGAAGGGTTAAAGGGAGGGTAGGAGAATGGTGAAAAAAATTAAGATATATTATGTGCAGATACAAATTGTCCAAAATGAGCAGGGCGTGGTGGTGCACGGCCTATAAGCCATCTTGGTTCTTTGAAAACCAAGTAGTAATTAAAAAAAGAGAAAGATTTCACCTGGGGGAAGGACAGATTCCTTATTAGCCTGCTACCTCATCCCACCTACTATTTTAAAAATGCTTTGCCCATTTCACTGTCCTCAACATATGATCTTTATCAACCTAAAATCCTCATTAACATAAGATCCTCATTGACATAGGATTATTGCAGCCCTGATTCACCCTATATTCCCTCTGATCATTGTGTGCACCCAATAAATAGTGGCTAATTTGGAGTGTCTTTATCTTTGCCCACTCTGAGGCGCTGACCTCCCAGCCCACCATGTATTATGAAATTTCCCATGTCTCTATTGTCTTTCTTTCTTTAGCCCTCACTGGTCCCCTTTCCAGGCAGATCAGAGGATTGATCACCCTCTGATAGAGGGCATCAGTTAAAGCCATAGAAATGGTGATCTTGAGCAAAATCAATTGTGTATTTGACACTGCCCAGGTATCCAGCCACTGATTCACACTTGCTTTCTTTCACTGGCAGTTAATTCATTCTTTTTTTTCACAGCACTCCACCCCACCCCACTTACTAATTAAGCTGTTTGCTGATTTAAACACAGCCTTCTTACCCCCAGGGTCCCCTCTACTTTAAACTTTGCATTTTCCTTTTCTTTCTTTCTTTCTTTTCTTTTCTTTTTTTTTTTTTGCAGCACTGGAGATCGAACTCAGGACCTTGCACTTGTGAGGCAAGACCAGTGCCATTGAGCTAAATGCCCAGCCCCAAGCTTTGAAAGCTCAAGAGGAATGTCTTTGAAATGCTAGCAGGGCCTTCAGCAGCCTGCTGACTGCTAACTTGAGGCACTACTTCCATGCCATAAAAAAAGACTTAACTGCTGGGATTTAGCTCAGTGGTTCTGCTGCCTGCCTAGCAAGCACAAGGTCCTCATCCCTGGTACCCCCCGCAAAAAAAAGGACTCAACTTCCCTGCTAAGGAATTGAATGAATGAACACTTGTCACAACATCTTTAAAAGGTTACCAACTCCTGTTTTTACCATGTTCATAATATACAGTAAATAGTGATACAGATAGGCCAATCTTAGTTTATTTCAAAGAGATTTCTCACAGAAGATGATGATAATAATAATAATAATAATAATAATTTCCTGTTAATAAGTGATGACAAATGCCAAGAGTTGTATTTGGATCTATGTATACAATTCTTTGAACGATTATAACATCTCTGAAAGGTGACTAATATTATTATTTAGATTTTACAGATGATCAAACTAAGTGTTTGGGAGGTTAAATAACTTTCCAAGGTTCACAATGTAGCTGTTATGATCTAACTTATGCTCATAGAATATCGAAATGCACTCTTTTAACTTTTTGAGATCCTGAGGATCCAATCCAGATCCTTTGTGAACAGCTGTAGCACTGAGCTACAGCCACCCCACTCCAACCACAAATGCTCTCTCTTTATAAAAGCTGACAATGCTTTTGTGTGTGGATGTATTGTGTGTGTACCCTAGGTAAGTCTGTTCACTTTGAGGTGTTAACTCATTTTTAATTTATTTCAGGTTGTTTTTAAACAATAAATGTATTTTACTATTATGTGATGAAAAAAATCAGCAGAATTTTTTACTTTTAAATTTTACATCATACCATGCAAAAACTCAAACTAACTGCTTTATGCAACAATTTATTATCCCTAATTATGTTCTATAAAAGTGCTGATTTACACTGTTGGTAAAGTAAAAATTGGGGCAATTTTTATTGAGAGCAGTTTAGCAGGAATCAAAACTATAAACTATTTGTACTTAGCCAGGTATTGTGGCACACATCTGTGATCCCAGCACTCTAGGAGGCCGAGGGAGGATTGTAAATTCAAGCCCATGCTGGGCAATTTAGTGAGACCCTGTCTCAAAATAAAAAAATAAAGAAAGATGCCTGGGGATGTACCTCAATACCAAGACCCTGGGTTCAACCCCCAATAGCACCAAAAACAACAACAAAAACAAAACACCATTATACTTAGCATCACGTTATTCTAGAGTATTTCAAATATACACAAAAGGGCCAGGGATTTAGCTCAGTGGTGCTGCCTCCTGCCTTCCAAGTGCAAAGTCCTGAGTTCAATCCCCCGTACTGAAAAAAAAAAAGCTGCCTGCCTCAAATATACACAAAAGTTGATTGAACAGAATAAACCCTCATATGTCTATCTTCCATTTTAATATCAACTTATGATAAAAAACTAATAAATTATTTCATATGCCCATCTGTTTGCTCCCCTATCTTTATTATGTTGTAAATCCTAGTTATCATATTCCTTTTTCCTAAAGAAGTCATTTTATATTGGCCATTGTTTATTATTGCATTTATATTAAAGTATAGTATACATGAGATAGCAAGACCAGGAGTGGTTTAGACTGATTGGGAAGGGAGGCGTGACCAGATCCCAGGACACATGAGCCAAATAACTCTCAGGATCCTGTATGTGGACTTCTAGAAAGAACCCACCATGTGTGGGATGAATAAAAGGACAAGACACCATCAAGGGCTCACTAGCAGGCTTCTTCACGATAGCTCACTATGTACTCAGGGTGTACTTTTACTTTTATTTTATTTTTTAAAACTTTCCTCTCTTTTACACAGCCCAAGTTCACTATGCAGAGCCAGTTTGTCCCTTACCCTTCCTTTTTAACTTTTCCTGCCTCAAATAAGTGTGAAACTTTGCCACTGTTTTTACTTGTTTCAGTTCTTTGTTTGGGAGGGGAACAACCTGGAAACCACCTGCAGAGGAGACTCTTAACACTCCAAAACCTGGTAACATTATTTGGCTTAGCCAGCCAGGAGACCAGGTAAGGCCCTTTGGGCACATTTTTTTGTTTCTTTCTAAAGTGTCACAACTGTATTTTGTTGGGGAGTTTTTCTTCTTCTTCTTCTTCTTCTTCTTTCCTTGTCTCTCCCCTATCCTGGAATTATGGGAGGCTTTTTCTCACCGCACCTGGAAGAGCTTCCTAGTGTGTCCTGCCATGTGGACTAGGGGAAGGCACTGTATTGCCTTTGTGATATTTTTCTTGCTGCAATAGACTTTTTTTTCTCACTTGTGCTCACTCTACAGGTATGCATTAAATAGCCAGAGGGCTTGTTATTGAATTTTTTGGGCGCTGTGTGTGACCTAGAGTTTGGTATGTCTTGTACACACATTTATTTGTTGTATTTTGCTACTTTTATTGGAAATTAGCCTGGTCTTCACCTACTCCAGTTTGTAAATTGCTTTTTCTTTCTCAGTTGGCTGTTTTGGTTCTGGGGTGCAATGTTACCTTGTTATATGGTCAAGTGCCATGTTGCCTTGTCATATGCCCAGGTGCCATGTTGTCTTGTCACATAGCTAGAGTCGGATTTGGGTCAAACACTGCCATTTTTTCCCTTTCTTTTTGTTATCAACTGGCCTTACAAACTAAGCCTCTAATTTTAGAGAACACGTGGGCTTTCTCCCTCTTTTCTTTTGAATTAAACAGACACAGTGTCTTCCCACATAGGAAGAGAAAAATTTGTCTATTTTAAAACTCCCACCACTTCTTGCCTGTGGAAGCCAATGACAAGTGGCAGCCAAGCCAGCTCTAGCTGACTTGACTCTCTCTAGGTCCTACAGCCCGCTGAGAGCTATCACTTGCTTGCTAGATTCCTTCTTTGTTTCTTCTAACAAAATGCAGGTAATTTAGAAACATGCCTGACAGCCTGAGCAGAACAAATGAACAGCATTTAAAACTTAACTAAAGAACCAGAAAAAAAAAAAAAAACACAACTAAAGTGATTGTGAGTATACAAAAGCAGAGCCATACTCATTCTTAGGAAAAAGGGATTTCCATCTCTACCTTAAACAAACAACCAAAGTTTTTACTATATGGGGTAAATGCAAGAGATATTTTCCCCAAATGGCTTCGCTCTGCTTAAGTATGAGCCAGTAAGTGGAAGTGGCTCAACTGTGTGGCTAAGGGAACTCTGTTGAGGTAAGGTGTTCTGCCCTGATCTCATGGGAATCAAAGGACTAAGTAGGGGTAAAGTCAGTAGAATCTGCTTGGCAAGGTCCAAGAGGCTAGTCTTGAGGCCTATAGAGAGACAAAGAGGGAAAACTAAGTCTTGGGTCCTTAGGATGGTGTCCCATGCAGAAGGAGGAGACCCTAGAGTCCCACAAATCATCATTTACTCAAGCATTTACTAGACAGACCTCTCTGACAAACCTTAGAGTGACCCCAGCATCATTCATACAAGCAAGCAAACATAACAGATTTTCCCTATTGGGCCCCATTAACTCATTAGGGGGAAGGAGGTTGGACCACGTGATGGCCCTACTTATGCAACTATTCTTCAGTTGCAGCATTTCAGCTTAAAACATTAAAGATTGAATGAAATGCCTTATGTTCAGGCTTTTGTGACCCTTTATCACAGGAAATGTCCTAAAACTATGGTATTTATAGTAACCCCAGCAAAGAGGCTGTCCTGGAAGCCCCATCTGTCTCTCAGGGGGATGTGAATCTCTCTGATTTGTGTGTGATACTAGGAGATTTCTTTGACCTTCTCCTTATAGTCCCCAGGCCAGTAAATCAGTTTCCTTTTTGGTTGCAAATGTCCAGCAATGCAAAGTATGACTAGGCCAACTGTCAGAGGGACAAAGAATCCTATAAGAGGCTAGAAATTATGCAGATGAGGAATATGCTTTTAAAAGGGAAGAAAATTATCCTGGAGAACCCTTCAACAGAACTAAACTGATATGCTAGCTGCTTTTAGCATAGAAATGAAAGGTACATTAAGTCTTTCATAAATATACCAATATAGATTCATCTTCTAGGGAGGTAGAAGCACTAGTGAGACATCATTTCATTTGTCAATCAGTCCCAGATATTTGGAATAAATTACAAAAACTACAGATGGGTCCACAGATACCTATGGCACAATTGCTGGGCACAGCATTTTCTGTGTTCAACAATTGGGATCTAGAAGGGGGATAAAAGAGAAAAGTTAAGACAGTAGCTGCTGTAATTGGCAATGTTTTAAACTCACCCAGGTTTTCTAAGGGAAAATCCAGGGATAAGTGAGGAAAGGGTTCCTGTTTCAAGTGCAAGAAGACTGGACACTGGGCACAAGACTGCACCAAGCCTCTGCCTGGGTCCTGCTCTGAATGTGAGGCAGGTAATGTACCTGACTCATGGCATTGGAGGTTTGACTGTCCCTGCTCCCAGAGAGGGGTTAGGCCAGCCAGAACCCTCATTTCCCACTTTGACAACTGAAGAGGCCCTGGGAAACCTGCAATTCCCCTATCTGTGAATATTGCCATCTTCTCTGAGGAATTCTGGGTAATCTTAAACATTATGGGTGAGCCAATTCAATTGCTTGTTGATACGGGGGCAGCTCATTCAAGTTTTCATTTTCTTCTCTTGAAAACTCTCCTCTAGAAGAGCTATAGCTATAATTGGGGTTGATGGGACCTTTAACCAGAGATTCTTTTCTCCTCTTCTAATATGTCACTTTGAAGGCCAGATGTTTAGCCATGAGTTTCTAATTGTCCCATGGTGTCCTACTGTCTTGCTAGGAAGAGATTTAGTAGCAAAATTGGAGGTAATTCTCAAATTTCAGCTAAGGGCAAAATGGATTTTACTTGTTGGGACCAGGTCTCCCTGACCAAATTAGCTAACAAGTAGATCCTGCTGCATGGAATAATTCAATACCTGGTAGAGCAAATTCTGCTATGCCAGTAGTTACAAGACTAAAAGACCCCAGCCAACTTCCAAACTGAAAGCAGTATCCAATCAAGGAAGAAGCACATAAAAGCCTCCAACCTCTCATGGACATGTTTCTCAAACATGGCCTTCTGAAGCCTTGTCAGTCCCCTTGCAATACTCCCATTTCCCCTGTAGTAAAGCCCTCAAGAGAATATCTGATGGTAATAATCCTCCACCTCATTAATGAGGCTGTCATTCAAATCTATCCTTTAGTGGCAGATCCATATACAATTCTCACCCAAATTCAAGGAGACATTAATTGGTTCTCAGTCTTCGATTTAAAAGACACATTTTTCTTCATCCCTCTATAGCCAAACTCTCACTTTCTGTTTGCCTTTGAAAGGGAAAAATCCCATTTCAGGAGAAAAGCAGCAATATACTTGGAGATTTCTCCCACAGAGGTTTAGAGACAGTCTTTACCTTTTTGTTTGGGCACTAGAGAAAGACTTAAGGAACCATCCTACAGCATGTAGATGATAATCTAGTTTGCAGCTCAACTCAGGAGTTATCTAAATATAACACTATACAAACTCTCAACTTTCTAGCTAAGAAGGATTATAAAGTCTCCAAAGAAAAGACCCAGATATCCCTCCAAAAAGATCAATATCTGGGATATGTTCTTATACTTGGGGAACGACAGCTGCCTAGGGAGTGGATCCAGGCTGTCTGTGATATTAGGCCTCCTGCCATCAAACAACAGCTTCCTTCCTTCTTTGGAATGGCTGGCTTTTGTAGAATCTGGCTACCTAATTTTGGACTAATGCCAAAGCCTTTATCTGAGGCTGTGAAAGGCCTTGAGTCTAAGGCCCTAGAATGGACAAAGTGACTGACAATGCATGTAGGAAAATAAAGCCCTTACTCAGGCTCCAGCACTGGGAATACTTGACATAAGAAAACTCTTCTTCTTCTGTATATCAGAAAAGAAGAATTGCCTTGAGGGGTCTTGACCAAAAGGCTAGGACAAGAACCCTGCTTAGTGGCATACTTTTCAAAAAGGTTAGATGGAGTGGCTGCTGGATAGCCACCCTGCCTGAGAGTAGTTGCAGCTACAGCTACACTAACAGTGGAAGCTGCAAATGTAACTTTAAGACAGAGTTCTGACTGGAAGTTCTGACTCCCCATCATGTCAAAAGGCTTTCTGGAGAAAAAAAGTTACTTGTGGTTAACGGGGGTATGGCTTACCAAGTATCAGGCCATGCTTTTAGACACCACTGAGGTTATTACAAAAATGTGCACTATTCTTAATCTTGTCTCTTTGATGCCTACAGGCTCAGAAGTTAGGCACTCTTGTGAACAAGTAATCTCCCAAACCTATGCAAGCAGGCAGGACATCAGTGACCTGACCCTCCAAGACTCTGAGGATGTATGGTTCACTGATGTAAGTAACTTTGTGCAAGAAGGACACTGAAAGGCAGGTTATGCAGTTGTCATTTCACAACAGGTCACTGACGCTAAACCTCTTCCTCCAGGAACCTCTGCTCAAAAGGCAGAGCTAATAGTTCTTATTTGGGCATTGGTCTTAAAAAAAGGCAAAAAGTTAAATATCGGTACAGACTCCATATGCCTTTCTGGTGCTACATGCTCATGCAGCATTCTGGAAAGAAAGGGGCTTACTAACTAACAAGCAATCATCTATAAAGCACAAGCAGGAATTTCTACAAACTCCTAAAGCAGTCTATTTTCCTAAGCAGGTCACAGTCATGCACTGTAAAGGGCACCAAAGAGACATGTCTGAAATCTCCTTGGGAAATCAAAAGGTTGATAATGAAGCAAGAAGGCAGCCTTATAGCCCCTTAAGACTCTAGCCTTATTCCTAGTTCCTGAGGGACCATTAAAAGCAGTCTGTATTCCCCAAGAAGATAAATGAGCCTTAGGACAAGGGGGAATTAAAAAGGGGGTCTGGTGGTATGAAGAAAATAAACTGGTCCTTCCCCAAAGGATGCAGTGGAAAGCTATAAAAATACTTCATGATTCCTTCCATTGGGGAAGAGGTGCTACATTGGAAATGGTCACTCAAGTTTTTACAAGACTAGGACTAACAGCAACTACTCAGCAGTTCTGCAAAGCTTGCCCATTTTATGCCTATAATAACACAGGCAAGCCCTAACCACCTCTTTTGTCAGAACCTGTACAGAGGATAGGGACATACCCTGGGGAGGACTGACAATTAGACTTTATCCATATGCCACCATGTGGAGGATTTAAACAGACATTGGTGTGAATTGATACCTTTACAGGCTGGATTGAAGCCTTTCCTACCCATTCAGAAAAGGGTATAGAGGTAGTCAAGGTGCTTCTTAAAGAAATTATCCCCATATTTGGACTACCCCAGTCCTGCCAGAGTGATAATGGGCCTTCTTTTACCTCTCGAATAACTCAGGAAGTGGCAAAGGCTTTAGGAATAAAGTATTACCTCCATTCCACCTAACAGCCTCAATCTTTGGAAAGATAGAGAAAGCAAATCAGACTCTAAAGCAAGCTCTGGTGAAACTTCGCTAAGAGATGTCTAAGTCCCAGTTTTGATTACTGCCAATAGTATTCATGAGTGCTTGTAATATGCCCCAAACTGGCCTAAATTTGAGCCCATTTGAAATGTTATATGGGAGGCCATTTCTATCTTCTGATATGATAGTAGACCCAGAGACCATGAGACTCTTACAATATTTTATTAATCTGGGCCAAGTACAATAGGCTATCAAAATGTATAGGAATAGAATCCTGCCAGCTTCTGGCCCACAGGGACTACCTAGTGTCCATCCTGGAGACCAAGTGCTTATAAAAATTTGGAGAGAAGAGACTCCCATACACCAATTGAAAGCAAAATGGAAGGGCCTCTTTTCAGTGATCTTTGCCATACCCACTGTAGTAAAGGTGGCAGAGATGTTATTGGGTTTTGGAGTGCTGGAGTCTCCTGGAGGTGCTTTGTAGGTTTTTCTTATCTAAAACAATGAATTGAACAAGACAAGCAAAAATGGTGACAAAATTTATTTGAAAAAGTAAAAATGAATGATAAAGGAGAAACTGGCTCTTCAGAGTGAACTTGGGCCAAATAAAAGAAGGAAAAAAAATACACCCTGAGGAACAGAGGGCAGGCTGCCATGAGGAAAGCCATGGTAGTGAGCTCTTCATGGTGTCTGTGTTCTTTTCTGCTGTCCACGCTTGCAGGAATCTTTGAGAACTTCTACATATGGGGTCCTGAGAGGTGGTGCTGCATAGCTCCTGCCACACCTGTCTCCCCAGCTGGTCTCAGCCATGCCCTATCTCTCATGTTAGATTCATCTTTATAGAATAAAGCCTGTTCCACCTGAACTGTCTGAAGAATTAGACTACCCAAAAGGAAAATGTTACTCCTGTGAGCCTCTGGAAGACTTGAGATTTCTCTTTAAAAAGCAAGACTCCAGTGCTACTACAGATAAGCAACCAGGATCTTGCTAAGGCCATGGCTCTCAGACTCTTGATAATTTATATGATATTCTTTTATGACATACATTCTAATCTACAGGAAGTGTGGACATCTGACCTAGTCCTCATATTTGGGCTAATAGTAAAGTTTCTTTCTCCCATCAAACAGCCAGCTCAATGGTCACTAACTCTTTTCTCATTTTCTGACAGGTTTTTTTCTTTCTTTAACCCAGCCAGTGAGCCACAACACCCTAAGGTAGGTGGAGAGCACATAATCCCCAGTAGGTAGGGTTTACAGCCCCTTAGCCCTCCAATCTCTCAGCAACCCATAAAGAATTATGGGGATCTGTGTCTCTCTGGGGAAAATGAGATAGCAAGATAGGGAATGGCTTAAACTGGTTGGGAAGGAAGGTGTGACCAGATCCCAGTACACATGTGCCAAATAATTCTCAGGATTCCATATATGGACCTGCAATGTTTGGAATGAATAAAAAGACAAGACCTCATTAAGCACTCACTGTTGTGCATTTTGATTTTAGTTTTCCTTTCTTCTATTTAGCCCAAGTTTGCTCTGAAGAGCCAATTTGTTCGTTACCCTTTATTTTTAATTTTTCCTACCTCAAATAAATGTAAAACTTTGCTACTGTTTTTGCTTGTTTCATTCATTTCTGTACTTGAGAGAGGAAGAACCTGGAAGTCACCTTTAGAAGAAAACTCCAGTACTCCAAAACCCGATAACATACCTAAAGAAAATGTGGTGCTCTCCAAACTTTCACAAACTGAACACATGAGGTAATTAATACCTATATGAAGAAACAAAATACTTTGTTTTAGTTAAATGTTTAATATAACCATTATGCCATTATTGCATTGAAAAGTTAATAATAATTCTTTAACATCATTAAATATGCAGTGCTCAAATTTCCAAGTATCTCATAAATGTCTTAATTACTTTTTACAGTTTATTTTCTTGAATCAGACTCCAAGTGGATACATACTTCATAACTGGTTGATGAATTAATGTCTTTTAATACTTAGATACCCATTCTAGTTTCTTATTCATTTATCTCTTGGAATTTTTTTTAAAAAACAAAACACATACCTTTCTATATCTTGTAAATTGGTACTTGCAACCAGGGGCTTGATCAGATTGAGATTAGATTTTTATCAGGAACATCTGATGTTTGTTTGACTTTCTATGTGACGTTACCAGACATTTATGTTCAGTATTGATATCAGTTATTTTCAATAGGGTTTTAAAGAATTATGATATTGCAATTATACTATTAGCTGGACTACTTGTATTCAGAGATTAGTATTTGATTGTCCACTAGTATAATAGTTTATATACAACAGGCAGGATAAATGTTTGCTTTTTCCCTTTTTCAGTTTGCCAAATAGCAAGTTGGCTCTTTAACACACTCCAACAGTGACTATAGTACAGTTAGAAACAATGGATCTGAGGGAGCACTCCCTTGCCTCCATTTAATTGTAAACAAAACTATGGTCATTCCTGCTTCCATTGTTCTAAGAGGGGTAGAAAATAAAATACAAAAACCCAGGATATCTCTAATGCTCTAGGCTAGAGCACATGGGTATGAAATTTCCTAGCCTGACCTTTCGATCATCTTTACCCTATTTTCACCTCATTACAGGTTCATAAATATATACTATCTGTCATAAATGTAATTAAGATCCAAGTGAATTCTAGGACAAGCATACGTGTTGAGAGCCCCTAAGATGACTCAGCATGATGTCAATCATTCCTGTCAATCACACCCAGAGATTCAGGGGGAGGCATCTAAGCAGAGATGTCCAGCCTTTAAATTCTGAAAGCCTGATTTATTTTGTGGCTCTATTTTGTTGCTACTTTTGTGTGCTTTGACCCATGTATAGTCCTTTTCTGTCACTCCAGCACATTTCTCCATCTGTGCTCTATCTTTCATTGGCACAGACTTGCCCTAAGCACAACTTCCTGTGATCTTCAGTAAATGCAGCTGTTTGCTACTTACGATTGGGGGTACACTTTGCAATTCTTTCCTCATTGTACACAAGAGCCTGGACTATAATTGCCCCATTCCTCAGCAATAACTGTGTATTTTTAAAATATAACTCATAGATTTAAATATGTCATACATGTTATAATTCATTAGTCAACTGTTCAACAATACGTTTTAATAAATAAATTATGGTATAAGCCAGGCATGGTAGCACACACCTATAATCCCAGCACTTGGGAGGCTGAGGCAGGAGGATCACCATGAGTTCAAGGCTAGTCTAGGCTACATAGTGAGTTCAAGGCCAGCCTGGACTGCCAGCCTGGACTATATAGTGCGATCCTGTCTCAAAAAACAAACAAACAAAAAATTATAATATGTCTACCCAATAGAAAAGTAGTAAATAGCCATTGAAAACAATGTATTTATTCATCTGAATGCTACACATGATATTTTACTTAAAAGTCATTTAAAAATTTTTAAACAAATGCTCATGGTTCCATATAGTGGCAAGTTTCTTTCCCATCTTTATTCCAAAGCCACTCAGTATTTTTCCCCAGGAGTCTTCTACTTTTATGTATGCTTGTACTATATATTCTTCCAGAGATTTCTAGAGCTGGTAGTTCACCTGTTAGGTATTGGTGTGGCTGTCTCAGTTCTTAAAATAATGAAATATTTCTAAAGAGTGTTACATAGTTACTTCTCTGAGACCCTTCCTTCGTGTTTGGGCCCACCCAACAGACCTTGCCTATCATCCATCAACTAAAGTGTTAAGGACAGCAGGGGTCATACAGGGTCCTACCTAAGCTGCAGCCATTACCCACTTTGATTAGTCCTTGCCTGTCCTGTCAGCTACAGATATTTTAACTATAATCCATAAAGTTTTCTCTGCTTATATGAGAAAATGTTTAAGTGGAGAAAGTAAAAATATGTATATGTATAAGTTGAAATTAGAAGACATTACATTAAAAAAATAAAGTATATGTAAACCTATGAATAGAATATATATTCTGGAGTGGTGTATATCAAGACAGTAAAAGTAATTTTTTTCTGGTTGCATAATTATAAGTGATCTCTTTTTCCTTTTAATATTAGTTGCATTTTCTGATCTCTCTACAGTTAGGACATTATTTACACAGCAAACAAAAAAATGTGCCTCTAAAGCAAAAAATGTGCCTCTAAACTCTTATTTCAGAAAAAAAGCTAAATATAACATCAACATTTTTCAACAGCTCCATCTGCTGGCTGCTGAATAAAGCTAATTTTAAAATAATCAACTTTTGCTTTTCCTTAACAGTATAAATAGAGGGAAAAAAATGCCTGTGTTAAAACAAAAGATGCTTCTTACACATCTATGAAGAGTAAGTTTCATGGGTCAGTTTATTTTGAGTAAAACATGATACAAACTTGATTCACTATTTAGTGGGCTACTGCTATGGTATGCAGTATCCCAAAATAAACTGTCTAGAACAAAAAATTGTTTTGGTGGTTTTGGCCATCTTAAACTACAATGCTGATTTTATTACCTATGCAAAAATAAAAATCATTTATTAGTGATTATATATGAATATATGTGAAATATACCTTGTTGCTGGAATTCATATTTCTTTGCACAATTATTCACAGCTGTACAGATTCCACTTTGTTATTCTTCTTACTTTTCAAGTGAAATTGCTCATAGTTCTCTATCTCTATTATTTCCTGAAGTTGAAGTGATGATAAATGCTTTCATAAATGCAAATTTCTCTTTGGATGGCAATACAAGGTATAATATATTCTGCAAAAATCTCTCAGTCTATTTTTGGAACTCTTTAAACAATAAGTTCTATTATAAGAATATGCATAATATATTTGAAGGAACACATTGAAGCCATCATACACTTCTCTTAAGGTTCCATTTTTCTGGTATTACAAGTCAATCAGTATTTCCCAAACTCATGGTATTTACTTATTACTTACATGACCTTTGATTTACAAAGAGTTCAAATATATTTGTGAGATAGAATGGGATTTAAAAATTACTTTAGTTGAGATGTCATGGCTACCTTGATATCCTGAATTTATTCAAGAATATTTGTCTTTCATGGTCATTTTGACTTTGGGAAAGATCCAGAAGTTGTGGAGTACCAAATATGGTGAATAAGGTGGACACATACTGTGATGATTTTATGAGCCTACCTTACTGTTTGATGGCACTCAACAGCAGCATTCATTATATTTTTTATCACATTTTGTAAAGACATTCACAAAGGACTGCCAGAATTGCTTCAGAAAGTGGTAAAAACAATGGGATAAATGTTTTTAAAGAAATATATAGTATTTTTGTAACATGCACATTAAGTGTGCTCAAAATATATAGTGAATGTTTCAATAAAAGAAAATGTACTACAGTGCAAAACACATTGCTGATAATTCCCCTCTTTTAACCCTGCCTCATATACATGTTATAAAAATACTGTATATGTACACATGCTGTATATACAAATCTATATTTATACATATACTTAAATAAATATACTTCAACTGGTATTAGCATAATCCTTAACAAGTTCAACAGTTGCAAAGAATACTTGTTAATAGAATTTGCTGGAGGGATTCAGTGTCTATTGCTGTGTTGTCTGATAGGGATCCATACGCCACATGCCACATGTACTTACATACACTTGAACTATCACTAGTGTGAATTGAGATGTGCTGTATGAATTTCACAACATGATCAAAGACTGTAAAACAGCTTATTAATAAACTATTTTGATTGTAGAAATGATATTTTGGATATATAATATTATGTAAAAATATTAACATTAATTTCACTAGTTTCTTTTTACTTTTTAAAGTGATAAAACTTTAAATTGCATATATGTCACATTTTTGTTGACAGTTTGGCTTTCCAATGCAAGGAAATGCAATTTCCTCCCATCAAGCAAGTGCAGGCAAATGGATTATGCACTGGACTGCACATGGCACACGGTGCTACTCTTGTTGATAGATGAATGAATGTTCATGGCTTTGGCTGTTCTGCCAAGTGCATTCAGAAGTTGTGCTGAGTCAGATGCTCAGAGCCTCAATCACAATATTGGAATATACAATATAACTCCTAGGGAACCAAAAAGACTATCAAGTCTGCATATTTCACTAAATGAACCTTAGTATTAACACATACACATGTTTCCTCAAAGAATATAAAGAGCTCTTCAGAGGGAAAAAAACTCCTTTCAGTATATCATCTGCATAAGAAATCAAAAGTGCCATTGGTTATTGGGTAGGTAAGGAGACGGTCCTACACTTTTAAAGGAATTAAATGTACTTTATTTTTTTAATTTTTTTAATTTTTAAATTAATTTTATTGGTACATTTTATTGGTACATTTTAGGTATACAATTCATTTACATCTATCATTGGGTGTTTGTACCTGTACATGATATATCTTGGTTCTTATTTTTTTCCCCATTACCTGTGCACCGTTCACCCCCCCATCCTTCCCTATTTACATAGATTTCATTTCCATTTTTTTCTTTTCTCATAGTTTTTCCTTTCCCTCTTTTCCTTTCCCCTTCCCCTCCCTTCACTCCTTCATCTTTGGACCTTTTTTCTGATTTCAAATGATCAATTCTT